TCTTAATTTGTCTTGCCTACTATCCAATAGTACTAACATTGGTGCAAATTTCATCAAAATCGGAAGACATCGACTTTTAAAGTTGGGCCACTTGACACGAAATTATCCATTTATTTAACTGAACTATGTGCCGAATATTATTTAAATTTAACTCTATTTAATATAAATTTATCTTCTCTTTGTAATTGAAAACTAATTTTATAAATTTTTTTCTTCTATTCCAGGTAAAAATTTGTTCTTTTAATGTTGATTATAACAAAACCGAATTTCAAAATGCTTTTCAACAATTTGGTATGTAAAACTTTATTTAATTTTATAAATACGACGATTTTTTTTTGAAATCTCGGGAGTCTTTTAAAATATATATATTTTTGAAAGAATAATATTTTCAAATTTAACATCAAAACGGCGTTCCCATTAAATTCATGCGTATTGGAACGAAACTTTTGTATTGAACTGTTATCAATATGAGGGTAAAATAATTCTCAGATATGAATTTTTCAATAACATTTCTTAAATTGTCAAACTTTTTTCAGATCTCGTAATAACGATTACTTTACATTCGATCTGGCAACTCTTAATAATTGGAGTTAAAAATAAAAAAAATTCTACAGAATTTATCTATAAATCATGATCAAGATCTGTTAATATCTTGAGTATTTCTCGAAAATAACTGCTTTTTATCGGAAACACATTAAATTTCCAATAAAACTCGCAAAATTCAAATAAAATTGCACATCTGGCAGCACACGTCTCTACTGTCTTAAAATTAAAGTGATGCCACTCTTTCTACTTGTATCATTTTTTTAAGTGTATTTTACTTTACAGCACAGAACGTTAGTTAGTTCGTCGTTCGGTTCTTTTTTTTTTTTAATTTTTTCATTTTATATGATTCTCTGTTGGGAATACGTATAAGAATGAAAAAAATAATAATAATGACTGAACAGCTCGAACCGAACAGAAAAAAACACACTCTAGCAAATTTAACATTTTAATATTCTTTTTTATTTCTGTGTGTTTTTCGCTTGTATAGCGAATGAGTCGGTATTTGTGTTTTTTGTTTTTTCATTTTATTTTTTTTTGCAATCTACAGCAATGAAAGCAAGCAATTTTTATTCTGAGAAACTCACAGCAAAAATAACAACAACAACAAAAAAAGAGTAATGAAAAAACCACTACGAATCGTGTGAGACTAACGAAACGTAGGACGACAACGACGATGACTGTAAAAAACAAATAAATAAAAAAAAAATATACAATAAAGTAAAAACGAACGAAAATTTTATAAAAAATACAATTGTTCTCGAGTTCTGAGTTGTATATGCAAACAGAGACGTTACTTAGTAAAAACGATGACTGGTTTGGATTTTATTTATTTTTTTTTTTTGCAAAATTTTGCACTAAGTTTTTTTTTAACAAAAACAAATATTCATGTGACAGTTTAACTCGCTAAAAGTCGTTTGACGTTTAATTCTACTAAACGATGGCTGTTGGTGAGTTTAACAAAACGTCAAACAGAAATGGTGTTGTTTCATACAAAAATGAAAATATAAAAACTCTTAATAATGACAATAACATAAAGTTGTTTTACACAGCAGCAACAACAACAACAACAATAAGAACTTTAAATATGAGAATGTAAAAACATTCATAACCAGAAGCTTTTAGATTTTGAACAGCAGCACAACAACAACAACAACAAGGAAGACTTTATCTCAACTAAAGTCTTACTACAGAAATCTACAAAAAGAACGTGTAAATTGTGATAATTCTCAAAAAAAAGTATCTTTACTAAACAACCAGCTTAAAAAACATGCTGTTTGGGTATTTTTTCTTGTTATTGTCGTTGTTGTTGTTTGGTTTAAACAGCAAAACAAAAATTTTACGGTCATAAAATATTTGCAAATTTAAATGTGGATTTTTGTTTTAAGTTGTTATCTACTATAAAATAAATGCACAGTGGGATGTGACTTTCTTTTTTTAAACAAAATTGTTTATACCTAATTTCTTTCAAAAACTTCATTTTTTTCTTTTTAGGAGAATTTTTATTTTGGAATGTTTATAATTTGAATTATTAGTTTTAATATTACAATTTTTGTATTCCTCTAACCCACTGTGCTGCAATAGCTCTTAAATGTCTGTTCTTGTTCTACATTTATATCAATTTTATTTAAATTATAGCTACCAGTATTTAATAACTACAATTTCTAAACAAGCAGTATGTTCAGTGCAAGTGCTAAAATAGTACTTAAGTAAATGAAGTATGTTCAGTGCTGTAACATATTTATTATGACATTTGCCCATACAAAACATAAACATTGTTTATATTAATAGAATCTACCAAGTTTTTGTTTTACTAAACTTATTACAACTTTATTTTATTTTTTAGCAACTTTTCTGAGTTCTATTGTTGTTGTTGTTATTTTAACAAACACTCGGCTAAACATAAACAAAAGGTTGAAAAGTTCAATTTGTGTTTTTTTTTTTCGTGGTGTATTCTCTCTTTATTAATATAATGTATGTTGTTGCTGCTGTTGTTGATTTTTATTATTGACAATTTTATACATGTGTTTATAATGATGTTGACGTCTAGCAAAGTATGACATTGTTGTCTTTGTTATTGTTTTTGTTTCTGCTTGTAGTTGCCAGAAATAATGATTGCAATCATAAACGCTACTCAACTGAAATGAATTGGAAATTAAATTGGAAAATATGTATTATGTTTTTTTTTTATAAATATTTATTAATGTTGTATTTGTGAGTATATACATATTAATTTTAATGTGTTGACAATCCTATAGGCTTCATTTTACGGTTTTATTTGCTACTCTTTCTCTCTCTCTGTGTTGTTTTCTTTCTCCCCTTTCAAAACAAATAATGAGTTAAAATTAGTGTGAAAATATTGGGTATTGTTGATTGATAAATTATTATCAATTAATTTTAAGTGAAAAGGAAAAAATATACAATTTGTATCATGTCTTGTAGTGAAAGAAAGGTACTAAAATTGATGATACTACATTATGTTAAGATTAATGTTGTTGGTGAGGGATTCCTGCTCTTGGCATTCTGATATTTTTGCAAGACTATATGTAATATAAAGTAAAAAATAGGGGAAACTATTAAATAATTTTAATATTTTCTTTATAAAAAACAAAATTTTTTATAATTTCCTTCCAAATCAAAAGCATTTGAAAAAATAACAAAATATTTTTCCATTGTAAAGTTAAACTTTGTTTTATTATTATTATTATTTTCTGCCTTAGATGTGACAACATTTATTGCTGTTTGTAGTTATTGTTGCTGTTGTTATATATGGGCCTTTTAAAATGATTGCCTCATTCTTCCCAGCCTAGAAAAAGTTTGTTGTATGTTTGTAGGCAACATACAAAAAACCCCGGCAAAATATTAGCTGATTGCTGTTGCTGCTGACAATGGGATGTTGCATGATATAGACGACAGCATAAACCTATAAAATCGTATTTTATTATGTGTGTCGACAATACCTCTGGTGCCACACAGTTAAAAACGGCGCACCAGTAGAGTGTATTTTTGTTGTTAATGATGATTGTAGGCGATGAGTATTAGAAAAAAATTGCTAGTAATCAACAAACACTAAAGCAAGCAACATCATCATTATTATATGCTACATAATAATCATGTTGTTTACTGGTCATTTGCAAAAGAATCATGTTGATATTTCAACTCAATTTCAGTTTAGTTGGGTTTAGTTTAGAGTTAAATTGTTTTTTTTTTTTTTTTTTATTTAAAGTTATTGTTTTTGGTTCTGTTTTGATTTTTCTTGTTTGCCATGTTTTTTTTTGTCGTTGTTACTAATATTTTTGTTAGACTTAGTTATTCTAATAGACTTGGACTTTGCTGTTGACTATTTGCCGCTATGGTTGATGATTGTAATAGATATGAAGTCTTTTTCTATATGAGAATAGACTTCGATTCGAAGTCTTTTTCTATATGAATATGGACTTCGATTCGAAGTGTTACTCTATATGAAAATAGACTTCGATTCGAAGTCGTTTTCTATATGAAAATACACTTCGATTCGAAGTCTTTTTCTATATGAAAATAGACTTCGATTCGAAGTGTTATTCTATATGAAAGTAGACTTCGATTCGAAGTGTTTTTCTATATGAACAAACTCTCACAAACGATAACTTAATCCTCACCTTTCTAAGTTTGCGCCTGTTTCTTCACCTTGGTCTCACAAGGTTACCATATATTCAATGTTTGTCTATCCAATCTCACTTAATCTGGCAACTCCTAATTCAGGTACTAAAGTCAAAACCAGAAGTAATCGATAACTTTCATTAATAGTTTCGAAAATAATTGGTTGATAGTGACCTATCGATCCTGTTGTGCGCTTCTAGTAACCTCGTACTAGTTCCATCAATGTTTTTCTCATCTTCCGCGATGACTGCATGAATATCACCTGGCGAATTGAGAAACTTTTAACAGTGTCGATGAAAGTATTTTATTTTACATATATGGATATTGACATCACCCAACTCTTTCTAGTTTTCATAAACCAAATTTAAACTTCATTTGAACAAAAAAACTCTCATTAATAACTAAACTCCCTACAAGTAGTTAATGTAGTAACCACTTAAATCCAAATTTTAATTTAATAATATTTATAGTTTGCTAACGTTTATTTGGGTCTTATAATTACAATTTTTCCTCTTATTATTGTTTAACTACATACTTTTACAGCTTTTCTTCTCTACATATGACACAGACACAGATATCTGGTAGTTAATATTACTGCTGCTGCTGTTGAGAAACTTAACTTCCTTCGATTACCAGAAATATGTGCGTTAGTTAATCAGTTTGTAAGTAAGTTTGATGATGATGATAATGACGACGACGAAGACTATGACTATGATGGCAAAAGTTTGCTTAAGGTTGGAGGTTGGTTGGTTGGTTTGGGGGTAATAGACATTTTTTATGAGATTTTCTTCTTTTTCATACTCTTATATAGGTAGTAGAGTACCAAACATAATTTCAGTTGCTGTGACTGCCTGCCTGGCTAGAGCTAGGTGCTCTATTACTGTTAGTTGCTGGTTCGGTTCCCTGTATAAAACTCATTCATTTGGATTTGGCGGCAAAAAAATTGTAATATAAAATCCAGCAAGAAAAAAATGCACAAGTTAAAAGAAACGTACGTTTGTTATAGAGAAGCCAAAGCCAAAGCACACAACCAAGTTATGAAAAGAAAAAATGTTCATGGAATGAACAATTTAAAACGTACAGAAACAGATAGATAGACAGACGGACGGACTGACAAACACAGGGATTTAACAAACATATAAACTTGTATTAAAATTTAACTGCTACGACGAACGACTACAGCAACTATTTCTACGTTCATATGTTGTTTTCTGAAAACAAGCGGACCAACCAGCTCATACAAAAAAATCCCCAATACAACGTTGTGTTGTCGTAACATTTTAGTATTTTTTCCACTGCTCACAGTGTACTTGTGACTGGCCTGCCTGGCTGCCATAGTTGTTTCTGTTTGTTCTCTGTTATTTTTGTGAGCTCGTAAGTTGTTTTTTCTACAAGCATTTTTAGTTCGGTCGCTAAATTCACTTGCCTCCCGTACACCATTGAGACGAATCAGTCAGTCATTCAGTTTGGCTGGCAAGTAAGCAAAGCAAGCAAACAACCAAACCATTAAACACAACAGCCTGACTGACTAACTGGCGGGCTAGCAAGGCAGGCAGGCAGTCAGTTATTGAGCCAAAGAACGTTTGAACACAACGAACGATATGAACGAACTTACGAACCAACCAAAACAGCCAGCCAGTCAACTTAACAAACAAGTAAAATAAGTACAAAACACAGTCAGCAGTTGTAGTCATCATCATCATCAGGCAGAGACCCAGAGTCAAAGCTAAAGCCATAATTTCAGTTTTATAAAGAATGTATTGTTTGCAGAAATTTTAAATTGTCTCTTAAAAGAAGAGTTTGTTGAAGGAAGCACTACTTGCTAGGTTACGGAAACTCATCTTTGGAATTAAACATTCCCGGAGAAAGTAAAACTTGGAACCAATTAAACTTGGAAAATTTTAGGGATTCCTAATTTACAAGACTTTTGTGTGAATTGCTTGTAGATTATTAGCAAAACATCAATTTTTAATGCTAGCCGAGGAAATAGTTTTATTGGGTTGCAAGGGTCCTTTTAATATCGCTATCACAGTTGTCTCCCTTCATGGATCTCGATTTTTATTTAATTTTCCAGAACTATTTCACGTTTCATATTACCCCTCCATAAACTGATCTATCACTCTTTGTCGATGCATTGGCTTTCCGACAATGAGAGGTATATGCTTTCTGAACCCTAGATGCGGCAATTTTGTTTATTGACGAAGCCGCCGAAATGAAAATACTTCTTGTCAAAGCAGATCTTTTCGATGTCCAATTGGCCCAAATAGAGAAGCTTTAACTTCGCAGTATGAAACGTCATCTGAGGAGATCAGCAGCCTTGATGGTGATCTTTTTCAACCATTGAGTGGACTGGTTGATTTGCAAAGAACTCATAGAGAGCAATTTTTGAACATTGCTCTAACGGACCTCGTACAATTATGCGGCCACAGATCAATCATGACTTAAACATTGTCAACTTCAGTGCAGATAGACTGATAATCTTGAAAGCCAATTCCAATGAATTCCTCGACCAAAGAAGAGGCAGCCATTGAAATCAAATAGAGAGTATCCGATCTTTGCTATTTGCTACTGGTCCACAATGCCCATTTGCCTTCAGAATCAGTTCGCCAAATAATTATAACTTAAACATTGCCCTAGCTCTGCCAACTCCAATACATTTCTCTACTGAAGTCGAGCAGCCTCACCCTTGAGGTGGCACCTGTTTATAGTGTAGCAACACCGTAACCTCCATTATATTCCTAGGATTCCTGTCACCACGTGCTCGGTGGGAGTATGACACGTCATTCTATGCCATTTCATTATGGAGAGATACACTCTTCGGTAATGTTAGCCAATTATTCAATATTTTAGCAAAGTTCATGTTCAAGCACGATTACTTTTCGCACTCTTATGTCAATTTTCGATCGACAAAACCGTTTAACAAGACGGATGAGAGAACATGCAACATTCACATCCCATGATTGAGATTTCTAGCCCAGCTACCACGTGATCCTAGAATGTGCTGGAAAGAGTGGTTATAAAAGTCCATTTACATTATTCTGGAGAGATATAGGCTTTAATAACGATATATCGCAGCTATATAGCTAGCTCTTACGCCAATCAACGAATTTTGGGTCGCTTTTAATCTTCACTTTGGTCTTCAACTTAAAAAGTCGCCTTCGAATCTACTTTATTTTGACAGAGTTGTTTTCACTTTAAAACATTTTCTGAACAAGGTTACCATAAGTTCACTGTTTACTTTTCCAGTCTCACTTGATCTGGCTACTCTTAGTGCAGGTACTAAAGTCAAAACAAAAGTAATCGATAACATACATTAATAGTTCTGTTTAGCCAAACACCATCAGTTTTGTACAATATTTTTTCTATATATTTTTATGTATAGTATGATTGTTTGTTGTTGTTGTTTGTGTTTTCACTTCTACATCTAGAGTAGACGTTTTTCTGTACAATAAACGTAAAATACAACAACGACAACGATAGCAGCAACAATAATAAGTTTTTGCCTCAACCATTTTGCGCCTTAATGATGAAATGAAACGAGTCAGGCTTTGGCTCTGTGTTGTTGCTGCAAATCGTTCGTTTGGTTACTGCTTGAGCTGCTGCTGATGTTGTTTTTCATTTCATGTTCATGTAGCTCTTGTGTATTTAAGTTTTTTACGTTTTTTGTTTTATTATTAGTGCTTTTTTTTGTTGCTGTTTGCTAAAATATACAATAATTTTTTCTTTTGCTGGCTGTTGTTGGTATTTCTGAGCTTTTGGCATTCCCTGGTGCCATTTAAACTTCGTTCTAGGTTTTCAATGTTTTTTTCAAATTCATAAGAATGTTTTTTTTTTTCTTTATGGTTTTACTAAATGTTCTGGGTTGCCTTTTTTCTAATGTTTTTAAGAGAAAATTTGTTCAAGTATCTGCAGTTAGAAAAGGAAATATCTGTTATTAGAAGGAAGAAGTGAGCAAGCAGCAGGAGTACGGCGGCTGAACCCAGTTATACAAATAGAAAAGTACCATTAGTCAATTTTCCTTTGGCAAACCAAAGAACATCGACCGTTTAGTCTAAGTTATGTTTAGGCACTTCAGTTTGGTAGGTATTACCTAATCAGTTTTTTTTTGGTTCTTTCTTTTTCTCTTGAATGTATGTTAGTTTATCTTAAACAAAATCGTTTCCTTTTTTGCTAAAGATTACTTGTAAGGCAAAAGCGCCATCATATTGAAGTAGTAGTTAGAGCGTATATAAGTTTTTTAGGCTTAAACATGCTTTATGTGAAGATTTCATTTCTTTTTTTTTTGGCGCGCAAATAATAAATTTTTCTTTTGCCATTCTTTAAAATTTACATTTTCAGCCGTAATCTGTTTTGTGGTTGTTTTTTTAGTATTTGTAGGAAAATTTTTGTTAAAGTTGGAAATTTTTACTTTTCGTTGGTTTATTTATGTTCCATAAATATCATTGATTTATTTTTCTAAAATTTATTTTCAACAGATACTTTTTTCTTTTTTTTAAACATCCTGTTTTTGAAATTATCCATTTCTTTTTATAAAATTGAAATGATCTGTACAAAATGCTTTAAATGAGCGTGATATAAGTTTGTAGAGAAGTTGACAACACTTGTTAGTGCTTTGACAACTATTACAAGTGATTCTTAGTGTTGCCGGACTGTGTAGGAAAACCTCGAAAAAGTGACCATTTCTAAACGGCTGGTACGATTTCAATAATATTCCATAAGTGTAGAGAGGAAGTATTAGCAAGTTTATGTTTAGAATTTGGAACTCACAAACTTTAAAGAGGTAGCCAAAGTAGGGTACCTAAAGTTTGTCAATAGTTGAAAATAGTCCGAATTCTTTTCTAGTTTATGTCTGTATTTCCGTTTTAGAAAATAGAAGTAATGTGTTAAAAATAACTAAATAAATGTAAAATAAGTTTGTGCTTTGACAATTGATTTTTGAAGTTGCCGGACTTTGTAAAATGTTAAATAAGAGTAGGGAAATCTCGAAAAAAGTAAACATATCTATAATTTCTAAACGATTGATTCGATTTTAATGAAATTTTACATGTTTAGAGAAAAAGTGTTGAATATGGTACTCCTCACCTTATCGAAGGCGATTGTAGAGGTAACCAATGTAGGGCACCACAAGTATGTCCTAATTCTTTGACTTTAAAGTATTTTAAAATATTCTGAAATCTTCTAAACAAATACCTAAATCAACTGAAGTTATCAATTCAAAGGCTAATTTGTTATATTTTTTGGAGTTTGACAACTTCGGGTAAATCTTCATGAATAAAAAAACATCTGCTATTGAAACGACTTCACTTTATAACCATTTCCTCAAAGGCTTTAGTTTTCCGTTTTTTGCGAATTCGTTTTTAATTTCAACTTATAAACGATTCGCCTGGAGAATCTATAAGGTGAAGTCCAAGGTGAATGTAAACGTTGTTAAGGAAACAAAAAAACAGCTCTTGAAGTGATTCACCTTGAAGAATTCTGTTTTATTTAGTATTTGACAACCGCGATATACGTTTTCATAAACAAAAACACAATCAGCTGTTAAAAAAAACTACACCTTGTACAGATCCATCTTATTATTATCGAAAACTGACTAATTTGATTAAAACTTTATTTGTCTTGCCTTAAACTTAAACACTAATTTTGTACCTAAAAAAATATATCTTAATTTAAAATACAAAGAAAAAAGAAACAAATATAAAACATTTTTGTTTTATGTTAAAAACAAAAGATAAGATAGAATCCAACCGAAGCAATTACAAACAAGAAACAAAAGTTAACGATGCCATGATGTCTGTGGATAATTTCTTTTGCCATATTATAGTATTTATGTATAAAACAAATTCAATATAAAGTCTTTAGTCTTCTGTGAAACACATCCTTCCTTGGGTTTTTTTTTCACAATTTTTTCTTCTTTATTGTACTTACTTATGTTGCTGCATTTTACCAATGGAGAAGTCAAAGTATTGTATGGAACTCTATAGCTAAAAAAAGGAAGTGGAAATAATAAAACTTGCAAAACGCAAAAAAAAAAAAAAACAATGAAAAAAAAGGAGGACATGTGGCATAATATTCATTCATGCATTTTTCGCGTACATTTGTTGAATCTATAGCATTAAAAAAAACCTGAACCTATTTCCATTTGCTGTTTGCAGTCTCTAGTAACCATGTGTTTTGAAACTCTTGCTTTTGGGTCTTTTGGAAAATGCATAAAAAGTGTTTTTTTAATCCTTTAACACTAGTTGTTGTTGCTCTTACTTGTAATACTTTGTTTAAATAACCCTTTTTTTAATGTTTTATTTCATTTCGAAGGACTTTCAAGTCCTTTTGCTTCGCTAAATAAGGAATCATAAAAACAACCATAAAATCATACATAGTTGTGGTCTTTCTAATGTTATTAACATGCACGTGCTTGCATACTATCTTTCGCAGGAACTCACACTTAAATATTCTATAATGTTTTTGGTCACAGCACACAGTGGTATAGGAAAAAAAAAAGAGGGAAATAATTCGGTAACTTCTAAACGGTTAATCCGATTTTACGAAATTTTTTTTAAATCGGAACTCAAATGAAGAAATAGGATCGTTTTAAAAATTTAACATAGCCGAGGTGTCCTAATTTGAGGACCCCCCGCCGGGCCCCTGGTTGGCCTATAAGGTCCAAATTCAAAACCTAAACTCGAC